GACCCTTCATTTCGAAGAAGGCTTCCTTTCCGTACCACATCTCCCACAGCATTATCCCGAGGCTATAAATTTCCGACGAGGTGTTGTACGCTCTGTTACGAACGGCCTCTGAAGGAAGGTGGAGAAACGCATCACATTTCGATCCAGGCTCGATGGTCAATTGTTTGGTCAAACAGATGTTGCTTAGTTTGACATTTCGGATGTTACAACTGTCCAGCTGTAGCGAGAAACAGAAAAACATTGTAAATGCTCACAAGGAATTCAAACTGAGTTGTAGTAATGTACATCGGTAAACTAGCCTAATTATTAACCTGAATTGCTAAGAAATTTACTTCGCAGTACTTATCTGCTACATGTTTCAAGACTCTCGATGAAGTTGTTTGAGTCCTGGTTGGATGCTAATTACAAAATGAGAAGTTTTTTTTTTTTTTCTGTTCTGTCTGGTTACTAGTCCTAATACTCTACCCACTAGGCGACTCGTGGAAGCTAAGGCCATTAAAATGTTTGATTTTTATATTATATTTACAACGAAAATCGTATGAAGTTGTCAAAAGGGTAACAATTTATGGGTACAGAAGGTGTTTTGGAGTCTTTTGAAAATTCTCAAAACGCAGGAGCCTTTATTTATAGTATCTTCCGCACACTTCGACTGGATTGAAAACGAATTGTAAGAACGATATACACGACTTTTATCATCCTAGATGGATGTAGTGGCTGCCATCTTTGCAACTCATAATTTTAATTACTCTTATAGGACTTTTCTGTATATTATTTTTAGATAGCGCTAGTTAGGTGCCCCCTATTGGCAGTGAGGATTCTACACTGCTAATTGGAAAAACCATGGATGGCCTCATCATTTTTTTTTTTTTTTCATGGAAATCACAGAAAGTACTATCCAAAGTAGCTCATACTCCTACAGAGTGGTAAGCTCTAAGAAGTACAATTTCAGAGTAATATATGGCCTTATCTGTAGGAAACGAAAACGTCAGGGAAACAGAGTCTGACAGGGTACAAATAAGATGCAGAGCAGTGTAGTCAGTGAAATATATACACGACTTTTATCGGTGTGTTAATGTTTGCAGATAGTCTTTTATATATTAAAAGATATTTTATATTTTTTATTTCCTTAGTTTGTGCCATGACTGCGAATACATCACTACCACCGCCTGCTCCCTGATCGGATCTGGAAGTGCGAGATTAAATCCAAGATTTCCATTGTCCCGGTTAGTTTTACTTCCTGTTTTTTATCTAGAGGCCGCCGTTCCGTGGGATTTCATAGGCATTATTGCTTTCTTTCGCCTTCAAATATGTTATAGGATAAATCTACTAGCCTTCTACCACGAGAGTCGTTATCTGATGGGCTTCGCTACCAAGTATCTATTCTGTGTTGTTAAATATTCATTTTTCCCTACCAAGACGTTTTCCAGTCGCAGATCACCATGAACACATCCTTGGAACATACTATGTATGACCATCAGCGCTTCAACAATTTGCTCGGCCCATTGGATGATACCCAGTGTGGACAAAGGATTCACTGAAGGACAGTTTCCAGGCTGATCCATGAGGTACTCCTTGAGAGTTTCTCCTGAGCGTTCCATAACAAATGTTACTTCCACCCCTCTAGAAACTTTCCTGAATGCAGCGCCGTAGAATTCCACAATGTGAGGATGGCAAAGTCTCCTGCAGAAAGAAGACTGAAGGTGTTAAAATTCAGTAATATACAGATTGGTTGATTGACTGACTGACTGATTGACTGACTGACTGACTGACTGACTGATTGACTGATTGACTGATTGACGACTGATTGACTGATTGACTGATTGACTGACTGATTGATTGATTGATTGATTGATTGATAAATCGTTGAACTGATGAATTAACAGATGGAAGGAACGCATACATATGCCAATGGATCGAGTTGATGTATTGATCGGTGGTCGACTAAGGGGTGAATGGAATGATTATTGCAGGACAGAACTAGAAGTAACTGAACGGGAAAGAGTGTGACGTGATATTACGTATCAAAATCATTTCTTATTCTAAACAAGCAAGCAAAATGGCTTTGTAAGGAGGCCCGATACCTTTGTTTTATTTTGGTAACCTCAGTGTGTATATATTTTTAGATTTTTGTGTCAACTATCAGGAAAAAAGAAACGATATGCTACCTTATCGTAAGCCAAACTAGTCCAAGATGAAAATGATAATTCTCGTTCGAATTATTGCGATATGGGCCGGCAAGATGGACCGCTCAAAAAGTAGTTTCGCCGAATTCAGCTTTTTGAAAACATTGCACAAATGGAAAAAGTCTGTTGTTGAGCAGAAATAATTTTTCCTCCAGACATGGCGGACAATTTGAACTC